TTAAAAAAAAAAAAAAAAAAAAAGGGACCCAGGGAATACACATTTGTGAAAATTCATTGAATTCACACTTAAGTTAGATGGATATCATTGTATATAAATTACAACTTAAAAAAAGTTGTTAAAAAAATACGGCTATGGACATTCTTCAGAAAAATTCAGAAGGTTGTACCACACAAACTTTTGCATAACTATCTTGAGTGTTTAAAGACGCCAATGGCACTAATGTACATGTGCATTACATGTAATGGCTAAGTGCTACATTAAGTGAGCCCTGAGGAGTTCACCAGTGGGTGAGGCATAAACAGCAAGGGAACTAGGTGACTATGGCACCTTCCTCTGCAACTGAAGGTCTACTTACCTTCAAGCTGAGGTGTCTAGATAAACATTTTAGAACCTGAGCCATGCTGGCTGCAGCCCGTTCCCGCTCATGGTCTTTGGTAGACTGTAACCAGGGGGCCAAGTGCTGTGAAAAATAAAGGGAGTCTACATGATTAATCAGGAAGATCCTGGATAATACCTTTGGTGTTAGGTAATGTGGAGATGGAAAATCCATATGTCACTACGATGCCTGAAGATATCTTGCCAAATTTGGGTTGCAGATGAAAGTAGTGGGATTGCAAATGAGGCTCAAAGATCTTTGGTGTCTGGCTTCTACTGGACTGATTTTCTAGACTTATTTCCCCTTGATTCTCATTTCTTCAATTACTTTATCCTAGTCTTCTGCAGTTTTAAGTCTTTGGAAATCTTCTTGGGGAAGAAAATGACACGCTACTAAAGGACTGAGAATGAAGAGTTACACCTGCCAGTGCAGTCAGGCAGGGACTCCTAAGACAAGTATCCATGAGGAGAAGCTTCATAAAGAAGGTGGCATTTCAGGAAGGAGGAATGACTTGAATTAAGTTGTAAAGACAGGAAAATAAAGGCACAACTAGATAAAGGAGAGAAACAAAATCTGGCTGGCGTGTTAATGTACAACTAGAAGAGGAATTAGAAATAATAATAAGGTCAATTATGGCAAGGATAAATGTCCATCTGTGCTTAGGCACAAAGGATTAGTAAGTTTGAAGAGTTACTTTTCTCTGATATCTACATCTCAAAATAGAGAACAGTCCACGTGAACTGTGTGAATGCACACCAGTACGCACCTCCCTGATGAGGACTGGCAGCTACTGGAGTGGGTACAGATGGGAGCAGGTGGTCATTAATGACCTTTGGGTCCCAACTCAAAGGCAGGCAGCTGCCTACCTAATCCTGAGGCTGCCCATTAATAGCAATAGTTTTCCATTGTCCCCTTAAAAGTGGTTTACCTTAAAAATGGTGTCAAGATTTTCCAAATGTGGGTCTTTCACCACCAAACTCTGGAGCATCTCAGAGAAAGCCTGTAATGTCTGCCTGTAGAGACACTGAAAAGGCACAGGGTCAGGGGTACCCTGAGAAGTTCCCCAATACTACCTCTAAGGCTCTCTGTGTTGTCTTGAGACCACTCAAAGCACAAAATTAGTGTAAAATTCTGGTTGGCAATTTGACTTGAGGTGAAACAATGAGTCTTCATTTTAAATAGATTCTTCAGCATTAACTCCACAGTTAACTGATTCTAACTACATTTGGGAATTATTTAAGGGTCATTATGATCCTTTCAGAGTTTGCCTTTTTTTCCTAAAATTTGACTTGTGACTCTTTCTAATATCTTGAATTCAAGGAAACACAATTCCCACTGGCAACTGCTTCCCCAGCCAGTATACTAGCTGCAGAAGAAAATCAAGCCTTTGAGCTTCTTCATGAAAACTTCTCCTCCAGAGCTACCCACACCTTCTCTCTTCTAGTGTCACCTCATCAGGAAGGTTTCCCTGGCTACCCTATATTAAAAATCAAAACTCTTATGTCCCTCAACCACAGTACTCTTTATGCTTCTCTTTCCTCATTTTATTTTTCTCTAGGCACCACTGAATATATTTATCAGCAGTTTGTATCTATGCACTGGGACATAAGCTCTCTGGATGAGAGTTTATACTGCTATATTTCTGCTGCTTAGCAGAATAAGCCTAAATATCTACTAACTGTATGGACACTCTCACCTTATTTTAAAGCCAAAAGCAAGAAAGAAAGAAGGGGAAACAAAGACAAAACAAAGAGGAAAGCTATTTAATATAACTACCTATTTTATTCATCTGACTTGGCTTAAATGGTATTTGGCTGGTTCCACAAACTCAAATGGGCTCTCTCAAAGGGCCAAGATCAGCAGACACTGTGGATGGCAAGTTACTAAAGCAAAGCATAAGTTACCTCTGAGTTGTAGGGTTCACTTGCAATCACTTCCTGCAAGTGGGTAGCAGTCTTTATAGAGGGCAGAGTGATTACACTTGTGACGATAAGACGGAACAAGTCAGCTCGATCTTTAGAGCCAAACAGCAAATGGACATCTTGGTAACTAAGAAAAGACATTATTGGAATAGCAACCTTGGAAGAGCTTTGTTTGACACTGAAAAGCAGGGGTCAAGACAATACTAAAGGTTAGGGTACAATGACTGGCGTATCATGCTGATGGAAGATAAATGTCATAAGTTGTCAATTTGTTTAGCTAAATCTCATAGGTGGTTAGAGAAGGGCTTCAGGTTTAGAGCCTCCATCCTTCTCTCTTTACCCTCTTCTCCTCCCTAAAAGGTCACCAAAGCAACGTGTCTCCAGGCCATACTCCACTTCAACCACCAAGGCTATGTAAATCATGATTTTCCAAAGTGTGTTCTGCTGCATGCTTGCTAGTTTGGGGAATGATTGGTTGAATCAAGTTAAAAAAGACGTTTTAACTAACAGAATTTCTTGGGGCCTTCAATCACTTAATGTGCAGTCCATATCGCCAAGAAGGCAGGAAGCCCTTTCAAAGTTCTTAGACTGTGGAACTCTACTGTCATGAAGTGCATGTGGCAGTAAGCTTCCACTGAATGTACTTTGGACAAAACTGAACTCCAAAGAAGTTCCAATAAAGTACAGGTGGTAGCTTATATGAAATCAAAGTTCTTCACCCAAAACATGGATTTGGCTTCACCTGCCCCAGCTAAATAGACTTCAACAGTTAAAGATATGGAATATATGAGCAGGCTCTGGTGTTGGCCCTGAGTGGAACCAGGAAGTATGTGTAGGGGCATGTGGGTGTCACCTGAGTTGAGAGATGGTGATAAAGACTTCCGGGAGCACGGGGCTGAGGATCAGATGCAGGGACTCCTCTTCCACCAGCTCCTGAAGTGAAGGAAAGAACTTTTAGAGTCAAGAAGTGCCAATTCTTTAGGCCAGATGTTCAGAGATGTGGGTGGCCTGTAAGAACGATATGGCAGGTCCTTCAGCAGGTCCTGCTCCTCAGCTCTGTAGCCACTGGCCTGGCTCGGAATTTATCCTCTGGAGCCAAAAGCTGAGATCGGGGTCTATTTCTTACTAGCTATCTGAACTGACACAAGTTATCTTAGTTTCCTCCATTTATAAAAAAAGGAGGTAGTAGTACTAGTTACTTTCATGGTAGTTGTGGGTACTAAGCGAATTAATTCTTACACCTCAGAGCAGCCCTCAACAACTATTAGAGTCTATTATCCATTATTTTTATTACTAATGATTATTTCCAGTTTAGACTTTCTAACACCTCCTTCCCACTAAACCAGTCATCTCTGCTATGATGCCTAATATTATCCTAAGTTACCTGCCTTGGAAAAGGACTAACTTTCCAAATTGGCTAAGGGAAGAGTGCCTTGCCTTCCTGGGAAAATCTGCATAATGACAAGAGAGAAATAAACCCATCTTGACAGCACCTGGGTTTGAGTTTGGCTCTTCCACTTACTCATTGTACATCCCTGGCTGTATAACTTAACTTCCCTGTGCCTCTGTATAGAGGAAATGAGAGGTGTTTCAGGAAGGGGATATGAAGATCAAAAGTAAGTAGTTATAGTGGACTCTGACTGGGTTGTCTATTCAACCTCTTTGGAAATGGCTCCTGGCTCCGAGGAATGGGCACCTCAAAGTCACTATTTTGCTAAGTCATTCTGTCTCACCAACCATGGCTCATCTCTCCAGGAGTAGACACCAGGAATTTGGAGTTAGTACAGAGTGCCTCACTCTCAGTCTGGCTGGTCTATTAAAATGAGAAAGGTGAAAATTTGGGAGCACTGGGCCCTAAGGACAATGTCACATATTGTTATTAGAGACAGAGAGGGAGGAAGGGCAGAGGGAGGGAGAATTAGTACAAAGGAATAAAAATTAGAAGTGAAGAGCAAGTTGTGAATATATGAAGATTTTTCATTTTCCTTCTGGGTTTGTGTCTTCTCTGGAGCAGGCTGCTCTTCCTACCATAGGATTCTGGGGAACAAATCTTTCCTTTTGTGTTTTGGCTGCATCTAGGGGATTTCTTTTATCTGCAACCAAGACGACCTCACTAGGGAGTAAGTGCCCAGAGGCACAGTGTTCAGAAAGTATTACCAGGCTCCTCTCTCACTATTTTCTGAGTTTTCTTTTTCTCTTCTCACTTTAGCTGTTCTGACTTGGATCTTGCTTGTGGTCTGCTGCTCTTCTTCCACATTGCTGTTGCTCACCTATTATATTACTTATTATAATAACTCTGGTCTTTTTTTTTCATTTTAAAATTGGTTTTAAAAATTTTATATTATTTTTGAAGTTACATTTTTGATCCTCCATGCATGTGCATGTTCCACTCACCCTCCACCAAATGCCAATGCCCCTTCTGCTTCTCTCCCAAACCTGGTTTTTTCTTCCTTGGGGGAAGCAGCAGAACTGCTCCTTTTGAGTACCTTTCCTCTGGGTTGTAGGAAGAGAGACACTTAGCCCCTGCACTTGGGCTTGGAGGGAATTTGTAGACTTGTACAACGATGCAATGACTTATGCAATTGTTTTATGGACACCAACTACCCTTAACTTCTCTAGGCTGAAATCCTTGCCAATCCAAAGATTGGTTGAGACTTGCAGTAGACATTTTACTACTGATTGGGCAGATCCACATGCATAACAAAGGAAAATTCAGTGTGATTTTGCTGCTTAGGACTTGCATTTGTGGACCTTCTGATCTGTTTGGTTGAGCTACTTGGCAATTTGCTGCTGTCAACTCTTGTGGATGTGTACTCTGGAATCACGCTGTTTTACTGGGTCCTATGGTTTCATACAATGCTCTTCCCCAAGGAGCTAAGTCAAGTAGAAAACTGCATTTATGCCTGAATCTGCACTATGTCACTGTTCCTTTTTGACTGCTATTTGTATGATCACTTCCAGATGGATTGTAAACTCTTGGAAGGCAAGGAGTCAGTGCACACTTTCAGGAAATTTGTATAATTTACGGAATCACCATAGTGTCATGAATACCAAAGATCCTTTGATAAATTACCTATCATTTAACAAATCTGTTAGCTGGTTAGTCTTCAATTCTGCAAATTACTAGTCAATCTCATCAGATTTAAATATCCGTGGCATGAAAAAGAATTTTCATTTTCCTGGAGTATATAACACATCTCAGATTCAGAATTGTAGAGCTTTAGTGAAGCCAAAGGGGATATTTTACAGATAAGAAAACTAAAGCACCAAGAAGTTAAATATTTGTTTAAGTGCCTTCTTTGTCAAGCCCTTCTGGACCTTTAAATACAGAACTGACTGTCCACTCCTTTGTGACCTCATTATCCTATACATATTAAAATTCTCATCATAGTTCCTGTAACACTTGATTATTCCTTACTTGTCTGCAGGAATATGAATTATGTTTTCTTAGTCCTTCTAGTCCCATTTCCCAGGAAAGTTCCTAGAACTGTCAAGTATTTAATGCAATGCAATGAATGAACTAGAAGAGTGAGGTTGAAGTTAAGCCAATAATAAGATAATACAATTGTATTTTTCTAATGCAAAATATATTTAGAAACCATACTATGTAGTTTATATTTCTTATTTAATGTTTTCAATAGCTCCATGAAATAGACACAGCCATCATTCTCATTTTAGAGATGAGGAAACTGAGGCACTGAGAAGTTAAGTAGTTTTCCAAAGTCACACAGTTAGAAAGAAGCAGAGATGTCACTTAAAGTTAGGCAATGCTTAACTAATGAGAATATAGCAATGTCCTTACTGAGAAAGTTAAATGCTATTCTTCTATTACTCTTCTTTTAACTGGTTCCTATGAGTGACTATATTTGTGTAGTCCCCAAGTATTTCTCCTCCATGCAAAGATTTGATACAAGAAGAGGCTAAGAGAAAGGATAATATGGATGAAATTACTAAAACTTTTGTTGATCAAGTCATTGAATTTTCCATGGTCCCAATAATTCAAAATAAGTTCATAATACTTACACTGAGGATCTGCACAATATCTTCTATGTTAGTATGAATGAATGATCCTGTGGTTTCATCACAAGGTAAAGTTTGGCTGAGAGAAGACAAAGATCTTAGGAATGTCAGCTTCTCCAGCTCACTCTAAATTTGTGGGGAAAGGATAAAAACACAACTGTAAGTGCTGATCTCACTTAGTAATTGTAGAGGGCGTTTGAAAAATATACTGCAATGTTTAAAATAAGTTACATCTCATTCAGTGCAGTGGCAATCTTTTATTATTAGGAATGAATAAATTACAGGAGAATTTCTGTGAAGTTCCTTGTCTTTCCCCCTGACTTTTCCCCTCTCAGCTAGAACACTGAGTGCTCCACTGTGGCTTACCCTACCCTTTAGTTTTGTCTACCCATCCAGTATACTGCTGATTGATTAAGCTTCCTAAAACTGACCTCTGGTGCTATTACTTCTGGTGTTCTTTGATGACATTAAAAACTCATTATTCTGAGTCTTTATAGTTTCTTATTAAAATGCAAGTTCTGATTTGAACAAATTCTCTCATTTTTTCTTATATAAAAGCAATATCCATGATAGCAACTTTGAAAAAATGAAACATAAAGAAGAAAATTAAAGGCACCAACAATTCTACCACCTTAGGAGAATTCTGTCCAGTTTGCATCCTCTATAGATCAATGATATGAACGAGTATAAGCTCTCTGGTAAGTATGAGCAAGCTGTAAGGAGAAGCTGACTTCATTGTCTGTTTCTCTCTCACCTGGATTACTATAACAATGCAAACAATGGGGTTTGGCGGCCAGTGTTGTTCCCTTCAAGCTGCTTCCCCAACTATTACCAGATTCATTTGTCAAAAATGCAAAATTCGATCAGGTAACTCCTTATTAAAAATCTTTCAGTAGCACTCATGGAGGTCAACGCTTACCCAATGTGATCCCAGACAGCCTCTTCAAGTTCACGCCTTGTTCTTCTCCTCCAGCATTCTGAGTGTTAGTCAAATTAACTTTATGCTGCCTCTTTTTGCTTCTAGACCTTTGCACTTTCTGAATTCTTTATGCCAATTAACTGACTAAAATCTATACATCTTTTTAGACCTAGATTATTCATTATTTCCTGGTTTGTGTGTTTATGAACACTATTATTCTTATTATTTCAACTTCTCCCAGTGTTTAGTACAGAATCTTATTAACAGTGGGTAAATACTCATTCATTATTTGCCAATTAACTGATTAAAATTTAAAAGACATATAAAAGGTGACAGCACTGGAAATACTGCTAGAGAAAAGTTATTGCAGTAATGGCATCTCATAAAGATCCAGACTAAGCAAGAAACTACAGAGCAAGATGTGCAATGTCACGAGAGGAAGGAAATAAATATACATTTTTTTGTTTATTAAACAAAATTAAAAAAAAATACAATAACACTGATTTTAGACAGTTGTATTCAGCAATGCTACATCCAGGAATTTACCCTGGAGAATTATTTGAGGAGTACAGAGAACCACATACAAGATTATTAGTCAAAACTAGAAAGAACCTCACTGGCTAGTGGTGTGGTTATTCATTTTATAGTTCTTAAGGTAAGAACAGAATGTTAACCTATTTTCAAGGCCCTGCACAGTCTCCCTCTGCATACCTCTTCAACCTCATTTTGTCACCATGATTTACAGAAACCAGGCTTTTTTCAATTCCTCAATCATACTCTGCTCCTTTGAGCCAGAGTTGTTAAACATACCATTTCCTATTTCCCTCTGAGTCTAACATCTAGTTTCTCTTATTCATTACTCAGACCTGAGTAATTTCCTCAGAAATAACTTCTTTAATAATTTCTTCTGTTAGATGCTCTTCACTGAGTAAATGAATCAATGAACAAATGTTTCATGTATGTACCATACAATAATTAAATAGGCTAATAGATATAGTTATTGACAATGAAATTTTTTCTACATATATGATGTTTTTCTATAATTACATATATATGTATGCATAGAAAAAAAAAACCTGAAAATATGTACACCAAAATGTTAACAGCAGTTATCTCAGGAGAACAGGATTGAAACTTTTTAAATTATGGTTCTGCTTTTAAGAAATTTGATTATTTAAAAAAATATAAAGACATTTTACAAATACATATAGATGAAAGTATAAATACAATTTTATAGTCTGTAAAAGTATTTTCAAATTAAATAATAGATGTGTAAAATATTTATAGAAATGGAAGAATAAGATCACTTGTAATGATGGCTCGTGCATACCTTTAATTCACTATTAAAAACTTCCTGGATGGACTGGATCAGCCTCTCACTGGTGACATCGCTGAGGGGGCCCTGGTAGCTCAGGTGCCTGAGGTTATCTGTGAGGGGTTCCTCAGAGAATCCAGGGATGTCACTGATATCTAAGTCTAATACCAAGAAAAAGTCACTGGCTGACATGACTGTACTATATGAAGTCACAGAGTTTAATGGGGAGAATTGCTGACTATCAGGATAGACTGGTCCTGTTTTCACCTGTGCTGTTTGCTGTGTGACCTTGACTCATTCCCTTCCCATCTCTGAGTCTCATTTTCTCCATTACTAATTCAGCATTCTCTATGGGCTTCCTAAACTACAAAACCCTTTAAACTAAGCTGTCTTGGAGTAGTTAATTAAGAACATCTCAGTTTCAGATTAGTTTGAATCCTGGCTCTACCACTTATTAAATTTGTATGAGAAGGTGTAACTTTATCAAATTAGTTTGCTTCCTGGAAGCCTAGCATCCTTATCTGTAAAATGGGGGAACATTTAATGAGGTAATGCTTACAAAAGGCTTACCCTGGTATCTCAGCTGTACTAAGCACTTAAGCAGCAAACATTACTATTTCAACTCAGAAGGCTGTTCTAAGCACTTAAGCAGCAAACACTACTATTTCAACTCAGAAGGCTGTTCTGTGGGCAAGAGCTAAAAATAAAGGATCAGCCTCTTTCTTCCCAGTGGGCCAAACTGTACCCACCTGGAGTGCTGGAGGGATCTCCTTCCCCACCTGAGGGGCATGTTGATTTCAAGATTCCAGTAGTATTCCAGAGGTGGTCTGCTAATGCTTGGATACTTGCTCTGCTGGTAGTTCTAGCATTCTGACTTTGTGTGGCCTTACTTTTTCTGGCCTATTTATTCATTTCCAAAATGGGATGATAATAGAATCTTTCTGAATGGTGGATAAAGGCCTAGTACCATGGAAGTGTTGGCAAATAGTATTCTGTTGCTAACTGAGTAACAAGGGTAATGGGGACACCCTTTTCCTTTTTCTGTAGAGTAACATCCTGACCACCTCTATTTACCAATATCCAACCTCTTATTTTTACTGGACAAATAATCTTACTATTTTCCCGTTTACACAGCTATCATCTTATTTCACTTCTTGTGTGTTCTTTTTGGTCTCCAGAATTACAGCATTTGCAAATTCCTCCAACTTCCTGCTACATTCTCATTATCCACTAAATGCAATTACTGAAGCTGTGTTCTTATTCACTACTGATCCTAGCACAAGCTCTTTCATCTCTGTGTATGTTTCTCCTCCCTCACTTTCTCTCACCTCTTTTCTTAGCTAACTCCCACTCATCTTTCAGGACTCAGCTCCAGGATGTCTTTTCTAAATGTCCTTTCTGGTCATTTTGGCTAGTTATCCTCGTAGACATTATTAAAGAAAGAATGTAATCATAACATTCAAAGTTCTCTTTTGAGTCCTACCCACTCTATCTCATTCTCTTCCAGTTGCTAGTAAATCTTTCATAGTGCTTACTTAATACAACTTGTAATTATTTACTGTTTGTCTACTTGGGGGGGGGGATCCTTTTTAGCACTAAAATGTAAATTTGATAAAGGTAGGGACCATATAAGTCATGTTCATTTTGTATGACCTGCATCTGGTACTCAATAAATATTTGTAGAATAAAGGAAAGACAGTTATTCAGCAGCCCAATTCATTCCATTCACTCCACTTCACCCTTCTCAGAATCCTTGAGCACTGAAGCTCTGTGCAAGTTTGCAGGATTCCCTGTTTCAGGGACCAGTTTCATTTCCTATATATCTAGAATAATGTATTTTACCTAATATTGCTAACCATTCTCTAAAGTCTTAAAGTCAGAAACCAATTTCATTATCAAAGTCTAACTAAGGGTTGGTCATACAGAAACTTGATTTGAAGAGTTTCCTCTTCCCTACTCATTCCTTTAAAAAAAAAAAAATCCTCTCCCCTTTTTACCTGTAAGTTCAAGACTACTTGGGTCTTTTTTAATTTCCTCTAAATTGCTGAGCTGCAAATCCACACTTCCTGAATCACTGTCAGAAGCACAAGGGATCACTACTTCTTCCCTTGAACCACTCCTGGGAAAGAAGAGGGGATTTGAAAAATCAGTTTTTCAGGACTCCTTATTTTATCAGTCAAGTGAAAGTTTGAAACTCACCTCTCAGAGAAGCATTTACCGATAACCAATCTAAGTTAAGTGACTTATTTCCAGCTCAGCTCCAAGTTACTTTCTCATTCCCTCCCACAATTTAACCATTACTTACAATTATTTTATTCATTGTGTTGACTGACAATTGTTCAATAGATTATAAGCACTATAAGAGAAGAAACCCTGTCCACATGGTCATAGTTGTATTCTCAGCAACTAACATATTATCAGCCTCATGAAAAGTGAATGGATAAGTAAGAAATACTATGCTATGGTTAAAAGACTTAAGTAGAACACCTGGTCCACTTCCCTTAATTCTACTAACTGTCCCTGCTTTTTTCTATAGCACACCAACTTCTCATATACTATTCATTTACTTATCCATTTTTTAAAATCATCTATTTCCCTTTTGCTAAAATCTAAGCTTCCTAAAGGCAAGGATCTTTGGCTACTTTGTTCATAAATGTATCTCAAGAGATTAGCATGCACATGGTAATGCTCAATAAACTCTGACTGAATGAATGACTGAGTGTTTAGCATACACTATTGAATTAAAAAAAAAGTTGCCAAATGCTGCATATGATTCCATGTTTATTAAAACAAATCAGTAATTTCACAGAAATGATTGTGACTGAAGTTATAAACGCATGTGTGTGCACACACATACAGATACACACAGAAAAATGTTGGATATAAATCTTCACAGAGAAAAACTTTGGGAATTCACATGTAACACCAGTGCAAGAGACTTGTAAAAAGAAAAATTTAGTTTTTAAACTTCTATGTTGACATTTTTAAAGTGTTGACATGAACATCAGAATTGACAAAGATGTGGTGCAAATACAACTCTTAGAAAGTACGGTTGGCAGTGTGAATTGGTACAACCACTTTGGAAATGATTTGGCATTATGTAGTAAAATTGAAAATGTGTCCACACAATGCCTACTACTCCATTCCCTGAAATGTATTTCAGTGAAAATTTTGTGTACCAGGAATATACATACAAGATTCTTCACAGCAGTAGTCATCATAGTAAAAAACTGGAGATAGCCAATGGTCTAGCAAGAGTAGAATAAAATGAAGTATACTCAACCAATGAAGTACTACACAGCAGTAAAAAATGAGTGAGTTTTAATAATGCACAAGGACAAAGAAAAAATCTGACAATGTTGAGAAAAAAAAGAAAGTTGTGAAAAATTATGCAGTAAATTTCATTTATAAAATATGCAAAAGTAAACAAATATTGTTATAACATAAACATAAATAAACACCATAAACATACATACTCAATCTATGAAGATAAGTGAGAAAACATTATGACTGCAAGACTGAGAAGTCTGAGAGGGGAGAAGTGGGGCAGAATGGGATAGAAGGGAATAGACTGGGTAAACCAGAAAGAGGACTTCAGGTACAGTTTCACCACATCATCATTCTTTTTCCTTACAAATTTTTTGAAAGTATTCATATTTTCATTTAATCAATACTAAATACAACAATTTTGGGTAAAAACACAATGAAGTTTGAACTTTTTTCTATGTGCCCATATTACTTTAATAACTTAAAAAAATTAGTTAATTAAAAACAAACCATCTAGGACTTTCAGTGGCTTCATATTCTTGGCAATTTTTGGTATTGCTGGACTTTTTTATATTGATCATTCCAGGGGATGTATCTCACAGTGGTGTAATATGCAATGATATCAATCCTCTTTTCATATGCCTACTTGCTATGTGTATCTTTTTTTTTTTTTAAGGTATTACTTTTGTGTAGAACTGGGGTATAGCCCAGAGGTGCAGGGACTGTGGGGGGATTCACCAAGATAGTGGGGTGCAGAACAGGCAGACTGACAAAGTTCACTGCTGAGGGGAGCAGCAGGGGAGACAGGAGAGGTCTGCTGTGCATGTGGGTCAGCTTCTTGGCTGGGGATCAAACTGTTGCAGCTAGCCTCATACTGCTGTGCTTTAACCTGTTGCATCACAAGGGAGGGCCCATTTCTGGTAAATGTTTAACAACAGAGTCCCCAAGTGCAGTTCTCAAGCGAATGCTAACTCATATTTTCATTTCTGTTAAAGAGTAAGATGTCGCTGAAACGTCAAAGTGCTGTTTTTTCCAAATTGGATGTCTTCAAACACTAGAAGACTATTTCCTTACGATTGTTCTATTCATAATGTATACAGACATGATACACTTTAAAATTTTTTTTTATATATTTTTACATCATTCTTCATTTTTGTATAATGTATGCTTTCTCACTTTGGTTACAGTCCGTGTGAAATTCCCACCATCATTCACCCAGGTACCATCACTAAAGTCCCTTGTGCTCTTCCCACCCTTGTTTTGATCCTACTCCTCTCTCATGACACAATTTAAGTCTAATTTCTATTAACATTTTCTCTATCATTAAGTTGGGATGATCAATAAAGCAATAAATCAGGCCTGGTTTGTAGCATTTGATGATTCTATCACGTAAAAATTCCCTTCCTGGCCAAGAGCAAGCAACGGATGTGATACTGGGAAGAGATGTACACTAGCACATCCTCATATAGTTCATATATTCATGATAGAAGCAGCCACAGAAGTATTCACAAGGCAAAATGTAGTAAAATAGGAAATGATGAGTTATGTTTTCATTATACTTTATTTCACTGTAACTTCATGGAATTCCATTTCCCTAGATTGTTGTATTTTAACAAGCAGTCCTCAAAATTCCGGAAAATTTAATGACACTCTCCCAAGCCAGTATGAAAGAACGCGAGCAAACCACTTGTTATTTTACTGAGTTAGAAAAGATTTTTCTATATTCTAGACCAGCACTGTCGACTTTTGTGACAGTGGATATGTTCTGTAGGTCTGTGCTGTCCATTATTTTATCCATTAACCACGTGGCTAACCAACACTACAACAACTGAAGAAATATTCAACTTTTAGTTCAAGTCAAACTTAAATATTCACATTAACCTAATATCTACCTTACTGAACAGCACAATACCAGACACAAACAGAACTAATTCCCCCCTTTTTCGGAGCAGTAATTATGGTAATAAGAGTGACCATATTATGCCTATTTTTGTATGTTCACGATAGATGAAAGGCTTGGATTATGGAGTCATGCCGCTTGGGTTCCGGTCTTTTCGGTTCCTTCTCTTCAAAATGGGAATACTACCAACAGTACACGATTCACAGAATGGTGATAAGTAAATTAAATGATCTACGCAGAGCGTAGACGCTCTGTAACAGGCGTTCTAAGGTAAGTCACTTCCGTTGGGGAGCCAGTTACTCCATCTGTCAAATTGCCCTAACATGCTCCTCACGGAGTTGTTAAATGTGAGGAGTCATCGAGTCCATACCAGGGCTCTGCAAGTCCGAGAAAACGTCACTCACTGGCCAGTTATGAACATCTCGGAAATAATCTTTGCAGGAAACCGCCACAATTTCACCTTCCCCACCGGCCCCTTCCCGTTCCTTTAAAATTGGCCGGTCTGCAGAGCCACGACTGAGTGACAGTGCGCTCGGCCAATCAGAGGGAGCCCCGTCTGGGGTCGACCCCGAGGCCTGGTCCAACCGCGTCGTGGGAGCGGCCGGAATAAGGCCGTTGCGAGGCGGTCGGTTCCAAGTGGGCCGAGGTGCCGGGGGGGAAGAGCGCCTGTGCGCTGGGACCGCGGGGCGTTGTGGGCACCAGACCTCGAATCCCAGCCAAGCCTGCTAGAAGCGGCCTGGCCCAGTGGAACGGCGGGACTGACCTGTGCCTAGACCCCATCTCGGCACGTTGAGCCTCCTTCGAATCACTGGTGTCCCCTCCGGCGCGTTCCTGGAGCGACTTTCTTGAGCGGAAGTCAGCCTGCGGCTCGGGCTCTGGAGGGACCTGCTCGGAGGAATGGCGCCGCCGGGTGAGGCGTTGCGCATGGCTCAGTGAAGGGTCCCCGCGGCCGGCACGCCGTGGGCAGTGGGCCGCCGCTCGCGGGAGGCTAGAGCTAGCCACTCGGGAGCTGGCCAAGCGGGGTCCCCTTCCCCTGCGGGGCAAGGGCATGGGGTCTTTCGGGTTCTAGGGTCTGGTAGCCGGGGGGCCAGTGGGTGGGACTGCCTGTGACCGGAGGTGGGGGGGGAGGGTGGAGGCGGTGGTCTACGGGTCCCCCCGAGGCCCAGCCTCTGGACCGCGACCGCGCTTAATCCTGGGGCCGGCTTCACTCATTCATTGGACTCGCCTGGCTTCCCCGAGGCCAGGGGGCCTAAATGGGCTGTTGGCCAAATTGTCCTGTCGGCAGTAGTTTTCTTTTTAGTGAAAGGAGCAGTGCTTACCTCTCCTAGAGCTTAGATCTTAGGGGAAAAGTTGTGGAGTGGACTCACGGGGTGCAGGTTTGTAGTCTGCCTCTTACTCGTTATGTGACCTAGAGGGTCAACTAACATTTGTAAAATAGGTTAGTTATATTATTTGCCTTGTAAGTGGCTGCAAGTATGACACGAGAATGGGTGTAAATATCATTTCGTGCGTGGCATGAAGTGAGCACTCAGAGAAGTTACCTGCCTTGCGAGTGGGCACTGTACAGAAGAACCCAACCGCATCACGACTTGGGAGATGTGTGCTTTATCTCCATTTATTTGTGTGTGCTTTGTTCCATTTATTTCCGTTTGGCAGATAAGATGCGCAGAGAAGGAAAGTAACAACCCAAGGTAACTTAAGGGATAAGTCAGTGGCTCACTGCTTCATTTGAGAAGTTGGAGATAGTGGAGTGGTTAAAAACTGACTTAGGATTCACACCGCCTGGTTTTAGTTACGTGTCTTAGGGCAAGCAATTACATCTGAGCCTCAATCTTTTTGGTCTGAAAATGCAGATAATGGCCACCTCACTTGACTGTTGTGAGAATTAAATAACCTAATGCATGCAGAGTACAAAGCATTGTATGGGCATATCTGTCACATGCTGAGTGCTCAACTTTTAGCCAAAAAAAAATTATCACTGAAGGAAAGTGGGAACATTAGGATTCTGACACAGCTACTTTGTAAGGGGAATTTACAGTTTATTCAGTGTCAGTCACCAAGTCTTAATACATTGTGTATATGCATGGACACGAGATAACTGGAGATTCAGTATCCTCTCTTTCTTCTTTCTGGCTTTAACTGAATTCTAGCTGGACTCTGGCCATTTCTCAGCATTCCCATTGCTGTCACCTTGGCTCCAACAGTCATTACCTTTTGACTTGGATGGTGAAAATAATCTTCTAACTGGTATCCTCCTAACTGCTACACTTGCTCCTGTGTAGTAGTATTTATTCTCAGCACAATGATTCTGTTAAAATACAAGTCACCCAGCTCAAACCAAATGTTTCCCATCTTGCTCAGTAAAAGCCAGATGCCTGTAGTGGTTGTAAGCCCCTCTGATTTGGCCTCTGCTACCTGTCACCTCTTCCCTATTTCTCACTCTTCATTTACTCCTCTGTCTCTGCTGTCTTGTGCTGATGTGAAAAAGCATCATATACACTTCTGACTCAGGGTCTTTTCTCTTATAATTTTCCTCAAAATCTTTGATATTTGTGTTTAATTTTTCTTTCACCAGTACTTGGTACATAGTAGGCATTTAATATTTGATGAATGAATAATCCACTTTATAGATCTCTAGTTTTTTTTTTAAGAATTTTCATATTCTTTAGGTTATTTAACATGTACAAGCACTAAAGTAGAATTAAATTTATGCCTTTAACTAGACATCTAACAATATTCTCTAAAAATGAGTGTGAACACTATAGTTAGACCTGGGTTTGAGGCCAAGATTGGTTATGTGCCAGCTATTCTGGTCCTCAGTTTTCCTGTTTGTCAAGTGGATACATGAAAAATTGCCTTCCTTATTAGGTCCTAGTTGAATCTAAATTCGACACTGGACAAAGGGGTTTGCTTACTAGTACTTGGATGGCAGACAATTCATAAAGCAGCCTTTTGAAAGTTTTTCTTTTAATGAAAAGTAGAAATGTACCATTCCTATAACTTTTTCATGTCCCTGAGGCATAATAGAAAAAGGATTTTTTCCCAATCAGCAAATAGTAATTCAGTACTATTTTGTATTAAGAATTAGAAATACCTGGGATGAATACAAAATAGTATCTTCGTGGAACTTAGAGTTAGTAGAGGTATCAGATAATTACACCATTGACTTTAGTTGTGAAAAATACTGCATAGGAGAAGTACAAGTTGCTATGAGTGCATATAAGCAATGACAACAGTAATCATGGTATTAGAAATAGTAGCTAACATTTAAATAACATAGTACTTGTTAAACACCAGTCACTAGTCTAAGTCTACATTTCCTTAGGTAACACTCTTAACAACCCTGGGTAGGGTTATCATTATCTCACTTTACACTTGTGGAAACTGAGGCACAGAATAGCTACATTTTAACTGCTTTGGTCACACGGCTAATAATGGCAGAGTGAGGATTTAATCTTGGCCCCAGAAGCCATGTTCAGTATTTTACAATACTGGGAACCAAACCCAGGGGACAACTATTGGGAGTCTTTTGATGGAAGAATTACTTGACCTGAAAAATAGAAATCAAAACTGAAGCAGGAGAACCTTAGAAGGGGAAAGCATGAAAAAGTGAGCCACAGATGAAGGGAGGAGAGGTGGGCGAGGCGCTTCTGAGAATTTAGGATCAGGCTATTATCGAAGGCCTAAGAGTTATGAATGAACTTGAGATAGGGATGTCAGATGGGTCCTCCACTTGAGGTATGAAAGCTGTTGGGGTGTCCTGCAGTTAGTTGAAGACAGAACCCCCTCACTCCCCTGAGGCTTCTTTCTAGGTTAAACCTTCAGTCCCTTACCCTTCCTCACATAATGTGATTCCCAGACCTTGGTGTGCATCATCACTGGAATTGTGTGTAGGTCTCTGGAACAGTATGGCATGTGTTTAATAGTCATTTCTCCCCAAGGTTCAAGCACTGTCTTCCTGTTGGCCTTGACAATCATAGCCAGCATCCAAGCTCTGACACCCACTCACTACCTCACCAAGCATGATGTAGAAAGACTGAAAGCCTCACTGGACCGCCCTTTCACAAGTTTGGAATCTGCTTTCTACTCCATCGTGGGACTCAGCAGCCTTGGGGCCCAGGTGCCAGATGTAAAGGTAAGGCTGCTTCATCTGGTGGCCTCCTTCCTTTGCGGTGTCCTTCTGTGTACTTAGTAACTCATTTGAGAATTACCAAGGTTAGTACACTAAGAAATATTTTTGCCAATTAGGTTTTTTGTTTGCTTGAAATGTCTAATGTATGTTTGGGTCTTGTCTAGATACTTGTAGCAGAATATAAAGAGTCATAGATCCTCTAGAAACTTATCTGTAGCTCTGAGTAAGACTGTAATGCCACATGTAGTTGTTAATTGCTCTGTGTGTGCCTACTAAATAATGAAGGAATTGAAGAATGGGAATGTGCAGATTTATTAAACAGTGACAGTTATTGCAACAGGCAGTTTTGATATCCTTGGACCTTTGATGAAGAAAATGGTGATTAAAACTTCCTGATTAAAAACTTTCCTGAGGGTCCTCCCTGGTGGTGCAGCGGGTTAAAGCACAGCACTAAGAAGCTAAAGCTACTTCCGCATGAGTTCGATCCCCACCCTGTAGGTGACCCACATGGCGCGGCAGACCTCTCCTGACCTGCCCGCTGTTCCCCTCAGCCGTGTACTTCGTTGATCTGTCTGTTCTGCTCCCCACTCTGTTTCTGGTGAATCCTCTCATCGTCCTCCCTGCACCTTTGGCCTATACTCTAACTCTGTATGCATAAATAAATAAACCTTTATTAAAAAAAACTTTGCTGAATTTTAGAAGTCTATTTTTTTTTTAATTTTTTCATAGAAGAAGTAGGGTGTAGGCAGAGGTACACGGGGTATGAGAGGATTTACCAGAGACGGAGTGGGGAGCAGAACAGACACATCAACGAAGAACAGTGGGCAGGTCAGGAGAGGTCAGCTGTGCTATATGTGGGTTAACCCCTAGGTCACCAGGGAGGCCCCAGAACAGTCTTAAGTGAATTATTTCTCAAGACCACCTGCACATTTCTTCTCATGTATAAACAGCAAGTTGAGACCTTTCTCTTCAAATCCCTCTTGACTTTCTCTTCTGCTACCAAATGTAAAGAAACTACTATTGAAGGGCTTACCTGTTTGAGTCAGGTCTGCCTGGATAATTTGAATTTTAAGGTCAGCTGAACTGGGGCTTTCATTCCAATTGCAAAGTCCCTTCATAGCAGTTCTTAGTGTTTGAGTGAATAGAAATCTAAAGATAGCATCTTCAGAATTCTGCCTACTCTTTTCTGTGTTATCATCGAAGTGATCCAAAGTCTCAGTGACTTAAGACCAACTTTGGTTTTCTGCTCAGACCATGATGGCATAACTCAACGAGGGCTTTGCTCCCTATTTCTTCCATTCAGGGTTTAGCCAATGGAGAGCAGTCTTTATGTGGAACTTACGCAGTAGACAAATGAAAGCACAACGGTTAAAACCTCTGCTTAGAAGAGATATGTGCCACTTCTTTTCCTCGTTTTGTTGCCTGAAGCAAGTCCTGTGCTCATACCTGGGTTCTAAGGATCAGGGTGGTATAATCTTTCAGACAACTCAGTTGAGTGAATGATAGCTTGTCCCTCTAATCCTTTGCCTCAAGCTGCCCCATGGTCCTCTCTGGCTCTGGTCTCAGAGCTCCTGCCCTTTGTTTCCTTCAGAACTAGTGGTTCTTTTCTGTGCAGAGGGTGAACTCTGTGTCACTGGTTCAGCAGTATGAGCCACGTTCATGAGGCACTTGTTTACTGAGCATCAGGGGTGGTCCCTGGGTCAGTTATTCTCACCAAGTCAGTATCTTTTTACCTCCCAACTTGGATTTCATTGTGGATTCATTTTTATTTTTTTAAAAGATTTATTTATTTATGCATACAAGAATGGGATACAAGCCAGAGGTGCAGGGGCAGTGAGATGATTCACCAGAGACAGTGGGGAGCAGAACAGGCAGATTAACTGAAATACACTGCTGAGGGCAGCAGCGGCCAGGTCAGGAGAGGTCTGCCGTGTCATGTGGGTCACCTCCCCTACTATGAATCGAGCTCATACTGCAGTGGTTGTGGATAGCCTCACAGAACTGTGTTTTATCCGTTGCGCCACCAGCCAGGGTCTCATCGTGGATTTATATTGGACACTACTCCTAAAGATGTTCTCCGCTGATTGTCACGAGTTTGAGGATACATTGGTCAGGATTTGAAAATGTAAGTTAAAGCCATCCAGACTATTGCAGTGCAGTGATGAAGCCAACTTTGTGTTGAAAATACTCTAAAGTCAGGCTGTTTGGCTTCAAGATCATGGCTTCACAGTTGTACAGTTAAGGGCCTATGCAGCTTACTAAACCTCTCCTTGTCTGTTTTCTCACCTGTAAGATGGAGATAATAATGGTACTTAGCTCACAGGTGATGTTTATGGGGTAATTAGCATGTGGTCACTTGTGCTAAGTGTATAATCAGTATTAGTTGTTATTAGTAATACTGTATTGTGGGATAGCATTTGATGCACTAAGACTTTTTACCCATTCTTAATCATCCCCATTGCTAAAGCCTAATGAGCAGAGAGAATATTGTACAAAGGGGTTGAATGAATTATAAACTTTAGCTGATAGAAATGGAGGATCTCCTCTTAATCAGAAAATAAATGGCTTAGTCATACTTTGTTCTTCAAATCACTTAGGAAATGTGCTGTGGTGGTTTTATAGTGTGTGTGCTATAAGTAATGGAAGGAAGGGAGTGGTATGGCTGTTTCAGGGCTGTTAAATTTTGTTAGGTGTGCACAACAGATAAACCCAGTGAGAGAAATTCTCCATTACTGCCATGTGTTCTGCTCAGCTTTTTATTTTCAGCTGATTGGAGAACAAGCCTTCAGCCCTGCTAAATGTTCCGATTTGGTTGCTCTCACATGTAGATCCTTAGGGGAGATTTTGGTTGTCACAAGAGATTTTAGCAGCAAAAACTGAGTAGGGTGGGGTTCAATAAGAATTTGAGAGTAGAAAGCAGCTCTGGATATTAGGAAGAGTGAACATCTTTGATTTTGAATGAGAAAAGTATAAAATGCTTTGCTCAGTCTCTGACCCATGGTGAGCACATAGAAAGGTGAGTATATGATATGTGTTTCCATTCAACAAGCACTGAGTGCCGAAGCCCAGGCACTCGGCTGATTGCTGGTGATGGCAGAGACACAGACATACCTTCAGGCAGTAATAGTGTAAGGAGCATCTGCTCGGTGCCTGGCCTTATCCTGAGTGCAGAAAAGACCACAGAGCTCATCTAGGGAGAGTCAGGCATCATAGTAGTGAGACCAGGTAGTGAGCCCAGTAGAGTGAGCGGCTCACATGTCTTGTCTGTTGAGAAAACTTAGTATAAACCCCAGCCTTCTGCAGGGGAAGTTGCCATCTGTGCTCATTGCTGCTGAATCTTTTAGTCTCTCAGACTATGGTGGGAGATACAGGGCAAGATTGTTGCATAGATGAGTGCTTGGACCATCCAATAAGAATTAGGGTTGTGTGGGAGACATGAATTTGATCTTCACCATCCTGATCTTGCCTTGCCTTTGAATCATCAAGTAACCATTAAGAAAAGTCTGAATTGGGGTATACATCTGAGTATTACTTGTGTAGAGGTTTTGGATAAAGTCATCAACGTGAATGAGGTATCCTAGGGAGAGAGAGATAATGGGATGACAAGTGGGTCTAGTAGAGAAAAACTATAGAGTTGATGGCCAGACTAAGGAGGCTTCAAGTGACGAGGTGCTAGGAAGGTAGGAAGAGAGCCCTGAGAGTTTGAGGGAATCTGGAAGTAAAGAGAAGTGAATGTTTAAGAAGGAAGTGACCGCTGTTGAGGGAGTGAGCACTGGAAAACGTCTTGGTTTTTACAGTTTGGAGGTCACTAATAATGGGGTGGGGCAGGAACCGTGTGGGAGTGAGTGAAGGTGAATAAATGAAGACTTAAAGCACAGACAACTCTGGAGAAGCTTGGCTGTGTGGAAAGGGGAAAGGTAGTGGTTGGAGAGGGTTTGAGGGAAGTTTTATTTTAAAAGTAAGACTTGAGTTTTTGTAATACAGGAATTATCGGCTGGTTGAGAGGGAGAAGCTGAATTGATAAGATGAATGTCTTCTGGATGGAGAGAGCAGCCTGTACTTTTAAGCCCGGAGTCTTGACAGTGCTTGCTGCTTTGGTGGCACTGAGTTGTCCGGGGTTACTGGAGCAGAGGTGTGTGGCAAAGTGTGGGAAGATGTGAATGTGAAGAAGTGGACTTAGTTAGGAAGGACCTAGTGTGGGGCTCTTGCTGGGGTGTGCCTACAACACGCCATAGTACCAGAGTGGTGGGATTGCAGAACATAGTCTGAGTGAAACCTGAGGGGCTGGGTGCTGTCAGTGAAGAGAATAAGGGAGAAGAAAGGCAGGTGAGAGAGGGTGTCACTGTCTTCCTAAAGGACTTATGTCCCGACTTGGTTTACGTCTTTGTTGGCTTATGTCTTTGTAGGGAAGAATGGGTAGACAGAAGTGCTGAATTTCTTCATTCAGGATGTTTAGATACTTGGAGTATTAACATAGGGCACAAAGAAAGTTGGTGGGGATCAGATAAGGAATGGACAAATGGGGTATAATTTTTATGTCTTCAGTTGGGGAGGTGAGTATGGACCATGGGAGAGCAGCTGGAGTTAGTCACAAGTCTGGTGGCTGGAGGAAGCCTCAGTTGTGTGGCCTTTTTACTGAGAGTCCAGCACTAGTTTGGGGAGGTCTTCCCATGCTGTCAGTACTTGAGCTTTGAAGCCCCTGACTGCAGGGGCTGTTGATTTTGAGAGGCCATACAAGAATTAGAGTACACATGGTGCTAGTTTTACTCCAGAACAGATAATTTTTCATAGTTCCTTGAGAAGGATGCATAGCTAGAACTGGAGCCAGAGGACCTGGGTGTGAATTCCACCTCCTCCACTAAACACTGAGTGACCTTTGCTTTGCTAAGGCCTGTTTTCTTGTCTGTAAACTTAGTAACTGAGGACCCAAGGTGCTTAACTCATAGGTTAGAATCTGTGTTCTACTTCCTCGTATTAAGTGAGAAATGCACATAAAATACTTACAGATTGACAAATATTCAGTACTCAAAAAATGGGGGCAGTCATCTCAGTCGTTTCTGGGTGCCTTGGGTGTTGTTATACCGCTGTTAAAGCACCAGATGGCGACACAGCACACATCTTAAGCTTGCCAGTGCTGCTGAAAGGACTCGTCAAATACGTTTTATTCTACAGACAGGTCCTTGATTTGGGCACTGTGAAGTATTTTGCTCTTTTTTGTTCTCCCTTTGATATCTTTCAAACTTTTGGTTGAAACATTTGTTTTGAGACTCTTATTTAAATTTTATTCATAAGTTAACAAGTATTTTAGTTGAAGAAGCACATGCATATAGTAAAATACCAGATAATATAGGATAGCTGTTAGTGGAAAGCAGCAATCCATCACGTGGCCAGCCTTGCCTGTGCCCCAGAAGCACCCACTTGTAACTGTTTTTAATTACCATTTAGTTTTGAATAGCTGCATTTATGTCTTTTCAACCAGAATATTTAGTAATATAGCTGTTAAAAATATTTTTTGGAGTTTAATATATAGAAATAGCATTAGTCTTTTCTTATGCCTACTCTGCCAGGTACTATGAATGAAGCCTCTTCTCTGATAAGTGGAACAGTGTTTTTGTGGGAGCACTGAGGTAGGAGACCACCTGGCTATCCTAAGGTGAATGTTGGTGGAGACTTTCTAAAGAGTGACATCTAAGCAGAGGTAAAGATAGGAACTGGTTTGGCCCACAAAAAGGACAAGGGATAGGCTCTCCTGGCAGGGGGAGTAAGAAGAGCAGGGTCAAAAACATGGGCTGCTGCGGGGTACCACTCTGGAGTTGGAGGTGGGGGTGTGGTGATGAAGCTGGCAGGGAGAATGAATCAGTCATGGGGACATCTTATGCTGTGTAAAAACTTTGGGTTCTTGTTCTGAGGATAATAAGGAATCACACAAGGGTGTGGCAGAGTAGCTTGGTTCCATTTGTGTTTTGTAAAGATCACTCTTGAAGCAGTAGGAGGAACAGATTCATGGTTTGAGACCACCAATTAGGAGATGATTGTAACCTTCTAGGTGAGAAATGGCAAGGACCTCATTAAACAGTGAGAGATGTCAGAGGGTAGGGACTGGGTTTGAGAAATGAAAAGAGGACTCAGTACATTTGGGGGCAAGGGAAAGGCGAGAACGATTCCCAGGTTTCTGCTGTATCTAGTGGGGTACATGGTGATGCTGTACATGAGCTGGAGTATCCAGGTGAAGAAACAAGGTTTCGAATGTGTTGAACCTGACTTGGAGATGTGTAAGTGGAGACTCTGGTATGGCTGGAATCAGAGAAGGCACTCGGCCCCTTACTGGCTTTGTCACCTTCATCAGCTTGCTCACCCACTCTAAGCATCAGTTTCTTTTTCTATTAAATGGGGGTGAGTCCTTATGTTCAATAAAGGGATGAACATCGGAAACAACCAGCATGTGTCATACCAGAGCAGGTGATGAGCGAATGGGTTTCTCTCCTATCTAAGTCTCAGAAGAACTAGAGTGCCTTCAGGTTTGTTGTTGCTTCTAGGAGGTCAGCAGTTCTGAGTAGTACAGTGTCCTCTGCAAAATAACTGCTTAAAAGATGAACTGTTATGTTACTATACTTTCAGCTCACAGATTGCTTAGAATTTTGGCATCCCAAAACATGTGCTTTTCCCAGTCTCTGTGTACACCAACACTTACCCTTGAATTTTCCTTTTACTTAGAAAGCATGTGCCTTCATTAAATCAAACCTTGACTCCAGCAACGTGGATTCCCTTTTCTATGCCGCCCAGTCCAGCCATGCCCTCTCAGGGTGTGAGGTGAGTCCAGGTTCCTACTTGTATATGTATTTTAAGCTGGAAAGTATATTTTTAAAGAGGAGGGTCATTGTCAGATTTTTTAAAGCAAGTGCTCATAAAGTGGGGTGGGAATTCCATTCTTGTGTGTGTGTGTTTTTCCCTAAGGAAGCCTAGCTTATTTTGCCACTTTTCATGAATTTTAAATAACTTTTTTCCTATAACTGATGCCCCTCTTCTGGGAAACGTTGATTTTTCTTTCCATCTCCCTTTAGTATTTAAACATTTGAAAAATAAAGGAATAATACCCCCACAGACACACACCAGATTTCAAGAAATCCATTTTGTTGAACAGAGAAACCTTGCCAGCATCTGCAGAAGTGTTGTGCTGAGGTTTTGTAGACGATCAGTTCTGGTGCTGGGAGTCGAGGGGCAGCGATTGTGGGAGCGTGTGGTGTGGCGTGGGCAGCCGCTCTGCATGCCCGCGCCTGTGCTAAATCTGTGCCTGCCAATCCTTTCTTAGATCTCCATTTCCAATGAAACCAAAGATTTGCTTCTGGCAGCTGTCAGTGAAGATTCGTCCGTTACCCAGATCTACCACGCGGTTGCAGCCCTCAGTGGCTTTGGCCTGCCCCTGGCCTCCCAAGAAGCACTTGGTGCCCTCACCGCTCGGCTCGGCAAGGAAGAGACTGTGCTCGCGTGAGTCATCTTGAGTACTTCTTAGGTTTCACTTATGTTGGGCACTAACTTGAGATGGGTCATCTGTTGATTTAGCAAATACTTTCTGGGTAACTGCTGTGTGCCACATGATCTGGTAGACACTGCAGATGTAATACTGAACTAAGGCAGCCAAGTTCCCTGTCCTCGTAGAGCTCACTTAGACACGACCTTCCCTAAGCTGCTCAGGCAAAAGGAAAATACCAAGTTGCAGCCTTAGCAGGCTGCCACACACAGACGATGTTTCCCTGAGGTTAGTGGCCGGAGCAATGTAGAAGATAACCAAACGAGAGGGGAGCCAGTGAGTCATAGGCATCTTCTGTTGAGGCTTGGCCAGGGCGCAGCAAGCAGCACCCAGTGGCAGAGGAGAGTATTCTAGGAATCAGACTCTACTAACTTTGCAAAAGGTTTAGGTGAAGGAGAATATAAGACAAGAACTCTGAGCATATTGGCTGCTTGTTACATATGTATATGTTATAACTAATATTAAGGATGATTGCTGGACTCAAAAGTGATCTTATGCCATTTTTTCATTTAACACTAAAAGTCTTTGTTTACATCATATAGTCCCTGTTTCCTGTGTGCCCCTCATCCAATCTCAGCCCCTGAAAGTGTGTAGACCACCTGGACTCCTGTTGCCTGTTTAACAAGTGGTTGGTGACACCAGTTCCCTGCTCCATTGTTTTCCAGTTTTGTATAACTTTGTTTTGTTTTTGTTCAGAACAGAAAGGCTTCTAAACTTCACGCCTTTGTTAAGGGCAGGGGCCCATAGGCAGTGGACAGTCTCCTCTGTCACTCCTATCCTACTCACTTTTGACATTGGGACTGACGCTTTTCCCAAGACTTACCTTTTGAACACATTCTGCGTAGTGCTTGATCCTTATTCAGTTCTAGGGCACTTTGAATTGTTCACATAATCCCCTGTGGAATGTTTTCCTATCACCCACCTCTTATGTCATGATGTCACTGTCAATGCCTCACTTTGACACCACCTTGGACAGAAAAACTTTCCCAGTTTCTTTAGGTAGAAAGGAAAATCCTCTTTAAAACCCCAGATCAGGAAAAGGTATAAGGATAGTACATCCTCTTAGGAGTGAATCAGATTTGGTTTCCTAACTCTGTTTCTTCCTTGCTGTGTGACTTTGAGTGAGTTATTAATCTCTCTGAGCATTATCTGTAAAATGAGACCAGTAATCTTCTGTCATAGAACAAATGTAGGGATTAAATGAGGTAATACCTGGGAAGAGTCTAGCAGAGTGACTGGGCAGGCAATAAGTGAAGTTCCTTCTAAGGAGCACTTCCCTTTGGTTTCCTTTCCTAGGGTAGCTGCTTACTTCTTTGGCTGTATTGTAGACATTTTACATTAATTATAAGCTTGTAGATAGAAAGAGCACTTGCTTTGGCTTAGCTAGAACTTGTTCAATTCCAGACTCTTCTACTTATTAACTCAGTGACCATGAAGATGCTCTTTAATCTTCCTATACCTGATAGTTTTTGTATATAAAGTAGGGAGAATAGCTGTCTCATAGGGTTATTGTGAAGTGCAAACTTGCAGTACAAATGGATGTCTTATAGAGTATTACTATTAATTTGCCCTATTTTAGGAAATCTGATACAAATTAGGACTTTTCATGGGCCTTGTACATGTAAGGGAACTTATTCTAAGAAGATTCGTGCATAAACTTTTCTAGAATGGAAAAAAGAAAATAAACCATCTGAAAAGATGCCATTGTGGTCTGTCATAAACCAATTTCTCTGAATCATCTGCTGTACATTAGCAAGATAGGCTCTACTTTCTTAGTGTTTCAATATGGTACTCCAGAGGGAAAGAAATTGCTGACTGGGGACTAAGTAATTAAAGCCAGTAACAAAATTTTTCAAAAGCTAAATGGATTAATTTCATTCTAAAGCTTCTGAGCTTGTTACAGCGGTGATGCTCACTCATTCCTCAGAAGAGAAAAATGATATCTTAATTGAAAAGTTCTTTCTAGGCTTCCTTATCAGCCTTTTCTGGGTTCAGCATTTATCATGGGCAGATGTGGGATTTTTATCTTGTTTGAAATTCAGGCTTCTTTTTCTCAAGTGCATTGTAACAGTAAGCATCCCGTAGGAGTCATTGAATACTCTGGGGTTTCCCTTTGTGTGAATTGTGACTCCTGTTTTCCAACTTGTCATCATAATGGAATTAGTTTTCCATGGAGGGAATCTAAATGGTTATGATCTCGATGAAAGCAGACAAATATTCTCTGTACGCTGCCGGCACATTCTCTGTACACTGGTTGCACACCAGGGCCCAGTCTTCTCTTGGGAGTTAGGGAGCCGCTGTGGGCTTGAGCAGCAGGCTGTGTTAGCCATCAGGGGTCCTCAGCTGCTCCTTTCCACCCAGAAAAATGCCATTTACATCTCATCTAAGTTATCTGCATCAAAGACCAGAAGTTAATCAAAACCTTACGTGCAGATGCCTAACACATTTTACCTTAAAAAGTCTGTCTTATAGAAGCACACTCATAAGTGGAAAAAAATGTGAATAAGCCGTAAAAAAGATGGACATACTGATACAGGTCACACCACTGATGAGCCTTGAAAATATTATACTAAGCGAGAAAATATCCAAAATAGGCAAATTTGCAGGCAGAATATAGACTGGTTCTTGCCAGGGATCACGAGGAGGGGAAGTAGGAAGAAACTTCACTGGGGCTTTTATGTTGGACCCATGGAACTAGATAGAGGTGATGATTGCATAGCATTGTGAGACGTGCTAAGTACTGCTGAATTGTTTACTTCACAATGATTGTCATATGAATTTCACCTTAATAAATTAAAATACATATATAGGAATAAGGTCACAGCATTGTATGACTTAGTAAAATGTGTGTTTATCAACTGGAGGATGAGTAAAGTATGTTACATCTAAGCAGTGTCACATGGTGTCATTGTTTATGAGGATGAAGTGCATTTATCTGTACTCATGGACAGATGTACACAGCTTATTACTGAGGTGAAAAATAAACTGGAGAATAATTATCTTAGAATCAAAGGCATTTAACTTTCTTTGATAATGCATTTGATTTTTGACAGATGTATATTTTTATAATTTATACTTATAATTAAAAATAAGTATAATGGGAAAAGGAAAATACAATAGACTGGCTTGGGAACCAAAACTTTTTCCTTTCATTGCACTTAATGCCTGAAGGATGAGGGACTTTCTTTCTCCCAGCGGAGGGTTGATTTTGTTAGATACCAACATGTGTTTAGTTAGAGCTTCCTGTTTATATTGCATTAATCTGGTTTCACAAAAGTTGCTTTACACTCTACCCAACAATTACAAAAGTAGGTGCCACAAAGTTTGGCTTGGGAGTAAGAAAAGTAGAAAACTAATAGGCAGCCAATTTCTCACAGTACAGTTTCTTGTACAACATGGAGATACACCTTGTTGAATTTAATCCTTCTTTCCCTTTGAGCCTATCCCTTATACACCTAATTAAGTCCTAGTGTTTCGTATGTGATGCCAGTAGGAACAAAGCAGATTTTCAGAGGGCAGTGAACCTGCTTCTTCTCCGAACCCGCAGTATTGGCTGCCATTCCTGTTGTCAGATTGAATTCTCAAGCTACCATGTCTTTTCCTGTCTTTGTCATATCTTACCAGTTAGATTGTAAATAAACTCTGATCATATTTTTAAAGATTTATTTATGCATACAAGAGCTGGGGTATAGGCCAGAGGGGTGGGGTGAGAGGATTCATCAGAAACAGAGTGGGGAGCAGAAAAGGCAGATTTTCAAAGTACACTGCTGAGGGGAGCAGCGGGTGAGACAGGGGAGGTCAGCTGCGCCCTGTGGGTCAGCTACCTGGCTGGAGGTCGAACTCTTGCTGCAGTGGTTGCTGATAGCTTCATAGTGCTAAGACTTAACCCCTTGAATCATCAGGAGGCCCTAAGCTCTGATCTTATAAAAAACAGGTGTGGGTTGTTTGTGATGTTTCAATGTAAGAAGGGGTGAGTAAATGAAAAGACTTGCATCTTTATTGAGGTTCTACTCTTTTACCTTCCAGGACAGTCCAGGCTCTGCAGACTGCATCTTACCTGTCCCAGCAGGCTGACTTGAGGAGCATTGTGGAGGAGATTGAGGTATGAATTTATTTTGACAAATAAATTTCCTGTCTTTGAGACCCTTTAGAAATGTCTTGCTGGCAAGACAAGTATGATTTGTTACACCCAGTTATATTTGTTTTCATGTGAGTTACTGACTTATATTTTTTGTATATCAGAGCCATATGTTCTAGAGAATATTTGTGAAGCTAGGATAGTTACACATCATTTAGGCCACAAACTTCTTTTCCATCCTTTTGTGGATAGTCTAACAGTCCAATGTTTTAGAGTCAAACACCTGAAATAAAGTTGGGGGTTTTTTTTGGCCACATACTGTTTTTAATCTTAGGCAAATTATTTAATGACTAAGCCTTTGTTTTCTTATATGGAGGCTGTGGGAACAAGCAAACTTCTCAAATGCCTCAGACATAATAGATGCTCAGCTAGTGGTCATTGATTTTTATTTTTACTCTCTCCTTTCCTTTTCTCAGACACCCTCTCTCATACTGCTCTCGTGGCCTACATGACAGGGTGGTAGACTGTCCTGAACCACATGCCATAGGCACATTAGGTGCTTGACCATGTTGTCTGAGGGGAACCATTTTTAGCTCTTCATCCTATAGTTGTTTGAGTAAGAAAGGGAAATGCCCTGCTCTGTTGGACGAATCCAAGTGTCCATGGTGTCTACCTGTGTCACGATGCTTCCTGGACACACTGCAGCCTACTCCACTGGCCTGCTGTCCAGAGCAGCTAGTGCCTTGAGTGCTGTGGCTCCTGGGCACAGCAGCTGGGAAAGGAGTGTTCTCACAGGGTCCTGTTCTCTTCAAACATCTGTATGATATACTTTGTAAAGTACCCTTTTTGAAAAAACACAAAGTGACTGAGGTGGTCTTAAAATTGAGAGTGAGTTTCTCAAAACTGTCTTCATGGGATGACAGTGGTTTGTGCCTCTCCTATTTTCACTTGACTCCAACATGTTTCCATTTTGTTGTGACAGGACCTTGTTGCACGCCTGGATGAACTGGGAGGTATGTATCTCCAGTTTGAAGAAGGACTGGAAACAACAGCCTTGTTTGTGGCTGCCACCTACAAGCTCATGGACCATGTGGGGACTGAGCCATCTATTAAGGAGGTACCCATCTTAACATTACTTAGGCCTAAACCCCAGAAGAGTTGTGACTTTCTCTGCTAAAGATAGCTTGTTGCAAAGAGGGCTGTTTGGTTAGTCTTGGAAAATAATACCTTAATATCTTGCATTAGGTACTGAAAAATAGAAAAATGTAATAGTACTTAATACACCATTTCCTGTGGGCTCGACATACACATATCCTTACGGTTGCTTTAACTGGGCTACAGACATGCCGTGAAGTAGTGGCAAGAAGGCCAAGTATATTACTCGTTTCCCTTCCCCTTTCTTCCTGAAACTCTTTACTGCTGGTCTCATGAATGCTTTCCATGTTGGTGGCCCAGGCAAATCCTCTTTCTCTTGAGAAGTGCCCTCTTCCTCAAAATTGCCTATTCTCCCTCCTACCCTTCATCCTCAGCAGTGACTGAATCTTAGTAATCTTTGCCGATTGACAAGAGTTCACTGAGAGCCATGTGTGTCGACTAGACATCCGCCAAGAGTTAATTCTTTTTTCTTTTTTGAAAAGGAGCTTGTTAACCTGAAAGAACCTTTGGTTGGAATGTGTGTGGGAAGTCTTTTTGAGTAGGGCCCCCTTTGTATCCCTTGTCTGTGAGATTACTAACCCTTGAGCTAGAAGGACTTAAAATAAAAGCTACTGTTGTTTAAAAGTTAGTTGGAGGGTTGGAGTACCAAGTTAAAACTTTTAATTTCTTTTATGTATTATGAAGTTGTATGCCATGTATCAAGGAAACAGTAAATAATTATCTGTCTTGGGTGACTGGAATTAATTTTGTATGTTCTCTGGAGTATATGATCTAATAATTAATTCATGTGTTGGCAGTATTATGGTGTCTTTCTTCATCCTAATTGTGGGAGGACTAGAGACAGCATACTTGTTTTTAATTTCTATTACGATTCCTCTGTTACAAATCATTTAGGGATTGTCTTAATATTGTACTGTAGGTGAATTGGTGATGTCTACATGCAGCATTTAAACTTTTTCTTGCTTTACTTCCAAGCTTCTATGAACCAGGTATTTGGCTGGAACAATTTTGCTGTTATTGCTTTTGACACAGCCATTCTAGTGAATAGTCAACCATTTTTAACAGGTCAGCAGCCTAGTGACGGAAAAAATGTAATTGGTACAATTAAAGAAAATTATTTTATGTTGTCTGTGAATAACACTGTTGGGAACAAGGGATTTCTTTTGTTAAATGGTAGATTTTAAAAAACAAAACTGATTGAAGTGGAAAATGTTTCCTCCTAAGCAAACATCCTCCAGAATTTCAATAGTGCCTTTTAGGTTCCACTTAAAAAAAAAAAAATGCTTTCCGTTTCCTCCTGTAAGCAGCCCATTCATGCGTAATGGAGAGTTATTTTAGTGTGTTTCTAATGTGCTTATTTTTGGCTATCAGGCTTGGTCTTGTAAATAAAAACAGCCCCAGTGCACTGCTTAGAAGTGGGCTGGGAGGAAAGTAGTTCAGAGGGATGGTTAGGGGAGTCAGGAAAGGATGTTTTATTTAAGGGCTTTGGAGACAAACGAGCTGTGAATAGGGCCTTTTCCCCTGTTACAGCTTGTAGTACTTAGCCTCTGTTACCTGTTTTCTCATTTGAAAAATATTGATAATATTAGTCCTTTCAGGGTTTTTGTCAAGATTTGAGTTAATGCATGTGTAACCCTTGTCAGAGTGCCTGGCATATATAGAGGCATTTAACAAAGGGATACTGTTACCTGCATTTTATAATATACTTTCACATCTCAGGTTATTTGGAAGAATAATATTGTATTGGTACAATAAGTATTGGTAAGCATTCAGTAAATGGGTGACAAATAAATGCTTGAATTTCAGTTTGTGCTAGAAGGTGGAAAACACATCCAAGTTTTTAAGTTTAAATCAGAATATTTGTTTCCCCTTCCTACCACTTGAATCAGTGGCTAAAAGACCTTCTGTGTGACACCTGGAAACAGACAAGAAATGACTGAAGTTAGGTGTGGGTAGAAGACTAGGAGCTGTCCTTCTGCTTTCTTTCAGGATCAGGTCATCCAGCTAATGAATGCGATCTTCAGTAAGAAGAACTTCGAGTCACTCTCAGAAGCCTTCAGTGTCGCCTCTGCTGCTGCTGCGCTCTCCCAGAATCGCTACCACGTGCCAGTTGTGGTGGTGCCTGAGGGCTCTCCTGCCGACACTCACGAGCAGGCTGTCCTTCGGGTATGAGCTCCATGTTTAAATGTGCTGATTTCCGTTTCCAGTATGAGGTTTTCCGAAACCTATAGCCAGGAACATAGCCCTTAGGCCACACCCAGAATAGGACTCATGGTCTAGGCCTGGAAATGGGTACATCTAGCCCCAGAACCTTTCAAATCTACCCAGGAAAACTTTTTCTATCCAAAATAGTAAAAGCTATTTTACTTTTTAAAATAGTAAGTCTTTAAGTAAAGTGTAAGAAATTTGCATGTTTGACTTTATAACTCCAGATGTGTAGAGTATACATTTTCCCAAAATGAAAACTTCCTAACTAGATTGCTTTAAGACAATTGTTTTAATTCCTTAGTAATTCTGGGGCTTGTATTCCTGAAGATAACTATCAGGCTCCTTCTCCCCCAGTGCTGGCAATATCCCTTTCTGTCTTTTCTAAGCATAGCATTCCCTCACTAGCAGGAATCATAGACTTACCCTCAGCCTTAACTCTTTTTTTTTTTTTAAAGTTTTATTTATTTATTCATACAGAGCTGGGGTACAGGCCAGAGATGCGGACGGTGAGAGGATTCACTGGGGTCAGAGTGGGGAGCAGAACAGGCAGATCAATGAAGTACACTGCTGAGGGGAGCAGCAGGCGGGTCAGGAGAGGTCTGCCTGCCATGTGGATCTCCTCCGGGGCAGGCGGGATCAAACTCATGCGGAAGTGGCTTAACCTACTTAGTGCTGTGCTTTAACCTGCTGTGCCACCAGGGAGGGCCCAGCCTTAACTCTTTCAACAGAGCAAATGCACAAATCTTGAGTTCTCATTTCAAATGACACATTTTATTGCTGTTAGAAGAAATCAGTGCTAGGCTAAGATCCTCATAAGATATTAGCATTTTGTTAAAGTCTAAACATTGGGGTTCCACATAGGATAGGTCTATCTATCTCACTTGTTCTTATACTTGGTGCCCCTACAGATATTCTCCCTGCAGAAGTATCCCACACTCCACATTGGCCTTTCTTCTTTCTACTTACTCAGTAAAAATTGGAAGTAACCGGCTGGCATAGTTCACCAAGTCAGGGGGACACTAAGAGAATAAAACAGAAAATACTTGACCTTGAAACTGCACAGATTGGATTTTGAGTCTTAGACGAGCTACTTAAGTGGCCACATGACCTTTGGCAGACTCTTGCCTCTGTGGCCTCAGTTTCTTCTGTAAGTGGAGAATGCGCTAGCTCTCTCATGATTGGTGGGAAGATACGCGTTTAGAGCTGAGCCTGGTATCTGGCAGATAATTAATTTTCAACAAATTTTAGTTATTAATATTACCAATATTTCTTAGATAGTTTTTCCATTGTCACCCTTTCCTAAATTTTTTCTTTTGTTTTTTCCAGATAATTTTTGTAAGATACTTGAGTGGACTGATTCGAACATGAGTCAGAATAAAGGAAACTTGACTGTGTGTGATCTGGGCCCAGTCATTCTTTTTCTTGGATTCTAACTTCCTTACCAAAAAATGAGATCACTGGGAAAGATCATCTTTAAGACCACTCCAATTTCTACCATCCTATAATCTATCTCATTCCTAGTCTAAACATGTTTTTTCCTGTATTTGAGGTTGGCAAGAACTTGCTGAAAATGTGTTTCTTCCTTTACAGAGTTTGTTCCCTATGGAATAAGCATTCAAAGAACAAAATTGTCTGCTCCTTTACTCTTACTTTTTGTTTTTTTAAAGCTTTATTTTAATTATTTATGCATACAAGAGCTGGGGTGTAAGCCAGACGTGCAGGAGTGAAAGGATTCACCTGGGACAAAGAGGGAAACAGAATAGGGAGATCTACTGAAATCCACTGTTGAGGGGAGCCGCGAGCAAGACAGGAGAGGTCTGCTGTGCCATGTGGGTGACCTCCGGGCAGGGGATCGAACTCATGACTGAGCCACAGTGGCTGGCAATAGCTTGATAGCAATGAGACTTAACCCCTGCACCGCCAGGGAGGCCCTCCTTTAGTCTTTGTTACTACAGGTAATTTTTTAATTTATTTCCAGTTGCAAGTTACCAATGTTCTGTCCCAGCCTCTGACTCAGGCCACTGTTATACTAGAACATGCTAAATCTGTTGCTTCCAGATCCATTGTCCTCCAGAAGACATCTTTCAGTCCCGTACGGTAAGTCCTGAGCACATTTGCAGGTGCCCACATGCTTGCTCTTGAAGTTAGCCCGTGGTAGTCCGAATATCCTGGATTAGTGTGGCTTTAACAATCATAACCAAATTTACTTAAACTTTGGCTCAGTAAATTTGACTTGGTATCCAAATCCTATCGTTATATCTAAGAAAGGGATATTTAAGATTAAGAGAGTTTTGGTTTAGTTTTATTGTTTCTTTCCTGTTTGTGTCTAGTCTCTTTGTTGTCATGATAATATAATGAATGTCTAATTTTGAATTTAATGTCTTCTCTGGTGTATGAGTGATACCTGTTTATTATAGGATAAATATAGAAAAATACCATAAAGAAAAATAAATCATTCATAATTCTACCACCCAGAGATAATTACTATTAACATATTTTGGCAGCATTTTTTCTTTTCACATAAAAAGATTTTTTAAATTGAATTAGGATTATGCTTTATCTAAAACAGTGTGTTGTGAACATTTCCTCCATGGGATTAAATGTTTTTCCACAGTTGTATTTTTAATGGTTTCCTATAGTTAAATAAATTTTTAAAAATTAAGGGTCCATTTTTATATGAAACTTTAGGGTTGAATTAGTAAGTTAATTAGATTGGAAACCGAGTTTTAGAGGAAATAGATTTCCTCGTCATAGAGTTACACAGGCAATTTGTTAAATTAAAAAGCAAGATCATTTTAAGGAATGATTAGTGGATGGTAAAAGATGTTGGAGATTTTGCTGTGTGGTTAGAGTTAAGACTTCTCTACTATTTTTGTCCCTTTAAAATAAAAGTTAATATTTTTATGAGCAAGGTCTGCTCTTTTTAGGAAATTCACAAAACAAGACAGTGGGGATAATATTAACAATTACCTACAGTTATACTACCCTGCACCAAACTCTCTGAATTTTTTTCGCTATAATTGGGATCATACTGTAGAAGTGGCTGTCAGAGGGAAGTGGGATTTTTAGGCGCAAAGAAGGGGAAACAACTTTGGAGACTTGAGATGGCAGAATATTTTAGGTTGTTTTCAAATTTCCCAAACATAATCTGTGAGTGATCAGAAAGCTGCCTGGGTGGGTTGTTTCAGTGAAAGTGCAAAGATGGTGTAGCCCTGGACTGGCCCAAGGAATACCTCACTTTGTGGCCCCTGTTTGTTCATGGCTCTCGGGTGTGCCTGCTAACCCTGCTGTTTTTCACAGGGATATTTTTGAACTAAACTTCATGAATGTCAAGTTTTCCAGTGGTTATTATGACTTCTCTGTCAAAGTCGAAGGTGATAGCCGTTATATTGCAAATACTGTAGAGGTAAGTGTTTTTCTTGTCATATCTGCTGTTATGTTAATATGTCCAAGGAAATGACCAACTAATGTTCTTGGTCTGGTATACTGACATTGCATTATGACCAGGCTCATGTGAATATGTAGGTTTAAGAGAGGGCTAGGTTCAAATTATACTGTTTGATGGACTTGGCTAAGACAGCATGTTTTCTTTAATTTGCAAATTAATTCATTCTCCATTATAATTTATCATTACCATCTTACATAAGATTTAGAAAGCAGAAAAAATAAAATTCTGTTGAGGCACAAATCTTCTTTCAGTTTTTTGTGTGGTAGACTTTGATAGACTGCTAATTATGTTATAAAAAGCATCAAGTGACACATAGCACTGTAATGAAGCTATCTGGATAACACACACACAAAATTAATAATCTTTCATAATGAACTGTTTCACATGTCTGGCTGACTGCAGTTGGGTTGAAGATCCAAGTAGTTTTAAGGATGGAAAGTTATGCCTCATTTATTCGATGCTTTGTCAGAATGAGGTGTTTTGTACTAATGGTTTCCCCAGCTAATTGACATTCACCCCTTTAGGTACCATGTCTTTCACTTTTAACCTTCTTGAATAGAATTTTATTTAAGATGAATGATATATTTTGCTTCTTTTTTAAACTATGGAATATGGTTTAACCTTTTACAGGTGACCCTGTAACCTTTACCTGGAACTATGTTACAGTTCTGTGTGCTTTGTTTACAGTTTTTTATTCTTACAACTCCAAAGGTGGGTGGGATCATTTTCATTTCATAGATGAGAAGGGTATGTGTGTATTTCAAAGGGGTAGAGTGATTTGTTCAAGGTCATCTAGTCCTGTTCTGGGGTGGATCCCCTACACAATACTAGTTTGGTATTAAACTTTTTCATTTCAAAATAATCTCAGTCTTATGAAAATAGTACAGAAAATTCTGATTTGTCTTTCACCCAGCTTCCCCAAATGTTAACATATAATTATAATTAGCAGTATACATTAACTCATTAATAAGCATTACTATAGAAATAACATGTTGATTAATATCAATATAAATATTAACTAACCCACAAATTTTTTTTTTTAAAGATTTATTTATTACTCATACAGAACTGGGGTACAAGCCAGAGATGCGGTGGGTGAGAGGATTCACCAGAGAGAATAGGGAGCAGAACAGGCAGATCAATGAAGTACACTGCTGAGGGGAGCAGCGGGTGGGTCAGGAGAGGTCTGCCTCGCCATGTGGATTTCCTCCGCGGCAGGCGGGGATCAAACTCATGTGGAAGTGGCTTAAGCTTCTTAGTGCAGTGCTTTAACCCGCTGCACCACCAGGGAGGGCCCTAACCTACAAATTTTAATTCAGGTGTCACTGGTTATCCTACAGTTTACCTTTTCTGGTCCAGGTTTCAGTGTAGGATCACATATCCCTTCAATTGTCATGTGCCTTGGGCTTACTCCACGTTGGGTAGTTTGTCTTTCATGACCTTGACACTTGAAGAGTACTAGCCAAATGAGTTTTAGAGTGTCCCTAACTCTGGGTTTGTCTCTACTTCCTTATAATTAAATTCAGGTCATACATTTCTGTGCAAGAATATTCCAGATTTCTCCATTGTAAAGTTGCTGTTTTTCTGCTTTGTAATTGTCTTCTGGAGTGATGCTTTGATACTCTGTCAAATGTCCTAATGATCTTCCCTGCCACTTAACACTGAGGTGTTTTTCACTTGTTCTTAGCCAAAAGACCAAGTAGCGATACAGTTTTTCAAAAGGTGATTTTCTCTTTCATTCCTTCTACATTTATTGATTGGAATTCTACTGTAAGAAAAAACTATCCCCCCTCCCATTTATTTATTGATTCAATTATTTATAACACTTTGGAGTGATGGATATTAATTTTAATTTATAGGTTATGTTCCGTTACTGTCATCCTTCATTTTGTTGCTCATATCATCCCAGATTTGACCTTTGGCAAGTTTCTCTAGTTGGTTTTTGTGACACCCTCTCTTAATGAATCGACAATGCAGCTAGAAAGTTTGACCTTTTCAAATGTGGCATTACTTAACGTAGATAGGTAGATTAAATACTTATGTTTAAAGTTTGGCAGAAAAGAAGATATTTTCTGGAACTTTCAATCACTTTTTTCTACTTCATGCCCCCTTTGAGACTTCTGATCCTAGTCCATTCACTAACCCAAAGTGTGGGTAGAAATTAGTGTATACCTTGAACCTTTAGAATCTAGGTTTCTTTCCATTTTAGTTTCCTTCTTTGAGAGCCTTATCTGCATCTAAGCACATTCAAATCAAGCTATTTTTTCTGTGTGTCTGAAATCTCTTCCTCCTACCTTTCCAATTTTGATAACAACATAAGCAACTTAAGTGCTACCCCAATACATCACATACATGAGGTATCCGCCCTCATCAGGTATTAAAAACATGTTGTATCCACCACCAACTATAACAGTTACTCTTTTTTTTTTTAGATTTATTTTTACTTATTTATGCATATAAGAACTGGGGTACAGGCCAGAGGTTCAGGGACGTGAGAGGTTTAACCAGAGACAGAGTGAGGAGCAGAACAGGCAGATCTAACTGAATTACACTGCTGAGGGGAGCAGCGGGTGAGACAGAAGAGGTCTGCTGTGCCATGTGGGTCAGCTCTCTGGCCAGGAATTGAACTACTGCCACAGTGGCTGGCAATGTCTTGATAAGTTGAGAATTTAACCCCTGTGCCACCAGGGAAACCTCATCACAGTTGTTCATCTTTCCTATTTCTGAGTTCTGATTAGTCACCAAGTGCTGTTGATTCCACCTCTGAGTGACTGTTGCATGAGTCCTTTGGTCTTAGTCCCAGTGTCCCTACTCAGCAAGAGCCTTGGATCCTCTGTGCAGTTTAATAAAGTCATAAGTGACTAGTTTCATTGTCTTCCGTCTCCATCCTTTCCATTTAATTTTTCATAAGTGCTGCTAGAATAATAGAATCACATGTTCCTATGCTCAAACATTTCTTTGGTTTCCTTTTGCCTTAGAGTGAGATTCACCCTCCTCAGCCTGTCTGAGAAGACCTCACAAAGCACATGAACATGCTGCAGAGTGGGTACCTCCCCTTCAGATAGACTTCATCTGCATGCCTGTAGACTCTGTTCTTATTTTTTCCAAGAGACTTGCTCTTTCCCTTCCTGGTCCATATTCTGAACCCTGAACTACATACTTTTTTTTTTTTTTTTAAAGATTTATTTGTTCATATAGAACTGGGGTACAGGCCAGAGATGGGGAGGGTGAGAGGATTCATCAGAGACAGAGTGGGAAGCAGAACAGGCAGATCGACGAAGTACACTGCTGAGGGGAGCAGCAGGCGGGTCAGGAGAGGTCTGCCTCGCACCATGTGGATCACCTCCGGGGCAGGTGGGGAATCGAACTCATGCGGAAGCGGCTTTAGCTTCTCAGTGCTGTGCTTTAACCCGCTGCGCCACTGGGAGGGCCTGAACTACATACTTTTTAGGTCAAGTTCAAATGTTGTTCCTTCATCTGAGTTCCCGTAGATTTTATTATTTTTAGTATGGATTACTTCAAATATACAGAAAAGAACAGAGATAGTGTAATGAATCTTCATGAACCTACTTTTGTTTATTTTTGGTATGAAATAAAATCCTATAGGTTGAATTTAAGCTCTGTATATTCTGTGAAATTTTCTCTCCCCCTCCCCCCCATTTGGGTTCTGTTGTCCCAGTGGTGGTTTTTATATTTCTGCTACACACATACATACTTTTGAAACAATTTATTGCATTGATTTGTACCTTCTTAAAATGTTAACTATTATCAGATATATAGAGTTTTGCAATTTGCTTGTTTTCATTCTTAATTTTATGACAACCATTATTTATACATGTAGAACTACAGCTTTATGCATACAAATGTTTAATTTTTATAAAATTATCTTCCTTTTATGAATGAATCAGATTTTATTAATTCATTTTTTTTGTGAAACATTTTAGAGTTTCACTGTTAAAAATAGTGTTACTATGAACATCTCTTATGCATATTTTTAGGAATTGCAGGCTTAGTTTGGAAATATTATGGTTTAGTTCCAGATCACCAGAAGAAAATGAATAGTGCATTGAAATGAGTCACAGAATTATTTTGGTTTCTAGTGCATATAAAAGTAGTGTTTACAATGTACAGTAATCTATTAAGTATGCAAAAGCATTTTACCTAAAATTGTAGTCCACATACCTTAGTTGTGACATAGAGACACAAAGTGAGACATGCTGTTGAAAAAAAAAAGTATGACTTTAGCTTGCTTGACAAAGAATTGCCACAAACCTTCAACTTGTAGGAATCTTAGTAAAGTAATGTACAACAAAATGAGCTATGACCTCCATAGGGGTTAAGTCTTAGCTATCACTGCTAAGGCCCGAGTTCAGTCCCTGACCAGGTTGCTGACCCCATGGTGCGGCAGGCCTCTCCTGTCTCGCCCTCTGCTCCCCTCAGCAGTGTATTCCAGTAGATCTGCCTGTGCTGCTCCCTACTCACTCTGGTAATTCCTCTCATCCCCTTCTTTGGCTTACACCTCAGTTCCTTTTCGCAAAAATAAGCAAAAAAAAAGAGGTGTGCCTCTATATGTACCATGGACATTATCTGTGTTATTAGCACTGATATCTTCCCCAGCATTGCTTTATGGTATCCTTTGCTGCATAAAAGTTAATTTCTCACACTTTTCTGTGTTCTTCTTTCCTCAATAGTTTATGCTTTTTGTTTTAACAAACCCTATTCAGAGCTCCAGGGTAAAAAGATAAAAATCTCTACTATTTTATTCTAACAAATTTTAAGGGTTTTGTTTTTATATTTTTGTTGCTATGTTACTTTACATTTTGTCTATATTGTCCTTATTGCATTGTATTACTATGTTTATTGTTTACTTCTGTATTGCTTTTTCATTAGGTTTGGAACGTCCTATGGGCAGAGACTAAATCTTCTATTTTTCATTGCTTGGTTGTTCTTTCAGACCA